CTAATTCATTTTTGCTTTGTTTTAAATTTAAATTTCAAATTTTGCTAAACCTAACTAAAATCTAATACGTAGTAGCTTTTAGCTTGTGATGAACATCAATTAACTTTTAAAATGTTAATATTTTGGTGCATGATACTTTAGAAATGCTAATATATATTAATTATAAATGATTATTTTTTGTTAGTTTGAGACGTCTCGAACTGTCCCGAACCGTTCCGAACCATCCCGGTCCCGATTTAAATGTGACAAGACTAGGACAAAGGCTTGTCCCGTACCGTTCCGTCCCGTTATTACTAATTGGGACGGGACCGGGATAATCCTAATCCCGAACCGACCCATGCCCACCCCTACCAAATTGGCCACTATTACCAAATAGCCAAATAGGCAAATCTCACAGAACTACAACACAATGCCCTAGTCGTGTTCTTCATATTCTCTTCTCTCCTTCAATCGGAAAGTTTTCGCCGCACTGACGTACGTGGTTGCAATTGCGGCGGGCGGCGGCTCTTCACAAACTTAGGGATCTGAGTTGCTATATATTGATTCCTGGAATTAATCCCTTTCCTTGCACAGAGTATTTAGCTTACTGTTGTAGCAAACACCAACCCTCAGGTTTCATGCTCGATTAATCGCCCCTTGATTTCTTCATTTGCTGTAGTTTATGTACTTATTCCTTTTTTGTTTTGTGTAATTCATTTAGATGCATGGAGAATCCTAAAGGATTATTACTTTTGTAGCAAACGCCCTTAATTCCTGCTATACCAAATTGCTTTCCAGATTACTATTATTGTTATTTAATCACTGGCTAGGCGCCAGAAACTCGCTAGGCGGCATTTTCCCTTTTTCGTCCCTGTAATCGCTCCGCTGTTTAATCGCCCGCCCAGACCTAGTAGTCGCCCTCAAATAGGCCACGATAGATGTTAATCGGCCGCCCAAACCTTTTAAAAGAAGTTGCGTTTTTTTTTTTTACTTTTTTCACCACCAGCTCTCTCTTCTCTTAGCAAAACTGGCGTGCCTCTCTTCACCCTAATTTGACGCTGTCTTCTCTGCCATGGAAGGACGGCCATAGTAACGAGTGCTAAGTCTTTTTCTCTTCCATTTCCGGATTTCCTTCTTCTTTGAGTATTGAATCAGCTTATCAGCCTTCTCCACTCTGTCCAGCAATCCAGGTAAATGTATTTTCATTGTGTTATGGTAGTTATTAAGATAGTTCAAAAACATGTGCTTAGTTGAGAATTTGTTACTACATGTTCATACCTTTGTATTTCTAATCTCCTGTTTTTTTGGATAAACGGAAATATTTTAATGTTTCTATTTTTTGGTTTACTCTAAGTATATGTGAGCTCAATTAAGCTCAATTGCAGTGGGAAAAAACATAGGTGTATGACCGACATATTTTTTGTACATGAAATGATAAGCTCTTCTTGGTTTGCAACTTTATTAACTCCTGCAAATGAGAAATTCTTTTGATTGATTGCATTGATTATTGACTAATATTACACCAGAAGTCATCATTCATCTAAAAAAAGCCGGTTGCATTATGTTTCACCAAGACTCAGACATGGACATTAAATTAATACTCCAGTGTCCAGAAGGATACTCATTGTTGAATATGGTGTTTTAAATCCTGATCTTGTATAGGGAACATGGGGCCACAATCCTCATATATATTGACAAATCTATAGCCTAATATTAATAGGAACTTGAAGCAAAAAAAAAAATATTAATAGGAACTTGGAATGCATATATGGTGATTGATAAAATTCCTAAAGGAAGCAATGCAAACTTTAACTAGTAATTTATTTCAAATTTCAGTTACTCTCTTTAGTTCTTACTGTTTTTCATTACCTTCTTTATTCATATTTGATAGTAATGTTGTAGCCCTGTAAGATAAACTCAGAGGCGGCTTTGGGGCCATTTTACTTGGGCAATTGCCTCAGGAGCCTCCAAAGAAAAATACATAGTACTTCGTATTAGTTGTTCATGGTTGACGAATTCCTGCAACACAACTAGGGGCTTAAGATCACTCAGTCCATCGAAGATAGTCTCATATGAAGGTCATCATCATCATTACCCCAATGCCACAAAATCAGGGGGTAATTGATATCAATAACTACATAGAGATTTCTATCTCAATTGTCCCTTATCATATTAAAGTTAAAGAGATGCAATTTCAGAGCATGCCTCAACTCATTAGCTACTTCAGTAACGAAACTCAATGGAGGCATCTCTATCTCATCATCAATTGATCTAGCAAAACTGACAGATATTTATCTTGGACAGTCAAATATGTGACAAAACAGGAATAAATTCTCAGTTGTAGTATAGATATCATCAGAGATGTCGGACATTTCCAAGACTGAGAGCAATGACCTATCTGGTTTTACCAAGTTGCTGTCCGCTGCCGACCGGCGACCTGGGCAGGTCTCTAATTGTTCACCGTTTCTGAGTCTTTGATCCTCTCCTAATCTCCCTCTCTTAATATCTTACTCCATATTACTTTCTGTCTTTCTCTGAATCTGAATCAATGACTTCTCTTTACTTCTTTAGTAGTGTAGAAGTTAGCCACTAAAATACGTTTTTTTAGTAGTGATTCACTGCTATACTAATACATTTTTTTTCTTTTTTTTATTAATTATATCTTTTTATGTTGTAACAAATTATTTTTATTTTTGTTTGTATTATAGATTTATAAGAAATTATGTTTCAGAGTATATTATACAGTTTTCTGTCTGGTGCTTCAATGATATGTATATGTATGTGTTTGGCTTAGTCTTTGCTTCCATTTTGTCTATTCAAATACTATTGAATGTAATCAAGCACTTCATCTGATCGAATAAATCTTTGGATGACGGTACAGATATATAAATGGATCAAGTACAATCTAAAATACCACCGAGCATAAACGCATTATGTCCTAGACAGAGATCGTCACCAAGGAATGTACTCCATTCATTCGCAACCGCATCTTTTTCTTCCGAAGGTTGGCTATTCTTTCATTTGATCTTCTGTTTGATTTACTATTATCATCTGCTTTCTCCATCTAATTGGGTATAAACTTAGTTATCCACTAATTGTTTCTTTATATACAAAGTCTCTGTTGAAGATTTTATTATGTTGATTTGGGAAAATTTTAAGTTGTTGGAACAAGTTTTATAAATTGTTCTGCCACAAAAATTAATGCATGAACAAGATGAAATTAAGAAAACTTTCCAGACTTCCAGCCCTGATATTCTACGGAGTATGAGTTTGCTTGAACCTTTTATTATTTTCTTGATTTGGTTTGTAGAGCAGCAGACAAGTGTCCTAACTATTTGAAATATTTATGATCACTTCCCTAATTTGGTCTTCTTATTCTTACTTATCATATGTCCTAATTAATACTCTGTATTTAAGATATGTATAAATTCATGAATTTGATATTTCAATTATCATTTGAAAACTATGCAGCCAACATGTTTGAAAAAGTCTAAACCAAAACAAGACTAAAATCAATTATAGGTGTTGAACATGAATTAGAACTAGTGGTTAATGATGCATAAGACACTTTTAGTAATAAGACTGCATTTTAATGTCAACATAAAATGATATACTTGAACTTGGTTGTTCATTTATTATCATTATTTGATAAAAAGTTGTTCATTTATATATTCTCAAAGCATGCTTGCTAGAGTATGTTTTGTGTGAGTTAACTGATAAACTATATGTTCTATGATGAATGTGTATAACCTTAAATTAAAGTTATTGACAAGTTTTGCAATTTGTATAACTAATAAAAGTTACCTCATCTATTTTGTGTACTTCAATTTTTCACTCTCAGAACACCCATCTACTCCATATGGAGAATCGCTTAGTAAATGGTTGTGTTGCTAGCTAGAAATGTATTTGACATAACTTGAGTTACGATAGAGTGATGGCAGAGCAAGCATTAAACGGGACTAGAGCGGAGATTAGTGATGACAAAGGAAAAAAAACACATGCCTCAAGCGGTGATAGAGTGGGAACCGTTCCAGTCAGAGCGTCACCTGCTTCACATACTTCACTAACACATCATTCACAAACTTGAGATGAAATTGAACATCTTGATGAAAAGCCACGGAGAGGAGTACATGTTCTAGGAGATGAAACAGCATTTATAGATTTTTTTCTATAATTAAGATCAATGTAAAAGATTCAATATTATTCAGCTATCATTCTCTTTTTTTTTTTTTTTTTTTTTTTACTTTTTAGCAACATATGTACATCTTTTATTTTACTTGTATACAAGTTTTTGGGAGAATGGATATGGCTTTGAATTACGATATTGATAAAGATTAGTTATGTTGGCATGAGTGATGTTCAGTCTATAAATTAATAATTATGCACATGCATCGTGTTTGAGACTTTGAGGTCGGACTATTTGTCCCTTTTCTCTAAATTTTTAAACTGTCTCTAAATTCATTACGACATATTCTGAAATTAAATATTATTATACGGGAATCAATTAAACTTTAACGAGTAATAATTTCTTCTATAGCTTCATCAATAATTAAACTTAAACTAACTTTCATATGAGGTTAATTCATTTGAACACGTAACTCAAAATGTTGGGCTTGAATGAATCACCAACTTGCTGGCAGGTAAAGCAATCTGAAATTGATGAAATGCCACAAACTAACATTTCCACCTTGGTATACCTCTCTAATAGGTTATCCATGCATGTCACATATGCGGAAAATAGAGAATATACTTATAATTATTTAATAAATACGTAGTATAAATTAAGGATATACAAAACATTATAAAAATGAATTTTTTGTGGTTGATATTGAAATAATAAAGTAACAATAAGGTAAGAATGTTTTATTAAAAAAAACTTTCTTACGTAACTTAGAATTGACCGGGAAATAACCATGTATTACATTCTAACATTGGCCTAGCTAGCTATACGTTACGTTCGACCAAAGCATAGAAAAGAAGAGCATATATACATACACCTATCATTTCTCCCATTTAGCAGGTTGAGAATTAAAAAAACGGCCCTCGATCACGCGCTAAAATAATGGCTAGCAAAGTTTCGATTTTAATTCGTATTGTAGACTTTGTAGTATTAATCCTCGTTTTTGGTGGTGATATTTTAGCACTATTTCTCGCCAGAGAGGCAGAGAAGTTACAAGATAAGGTACATATATACTATCCCACAATATTTTGCAATGCATATATGATCATCACCAATAGGGAGAAGGACAAATAAGCCCTCGAACTAAGCAAAAAAGTGCATATCACTCCTTATATAGGAGGTTATGTCCGGCCGTCATCATCTGAGGAGGTTCCCGGTGAATTTTTTTGATGAATTGTTTTTAGCATCTTCTTCATTAAGTCTAATTTACACATACCAAATTTCATCTAAAAATTCAATCGGGAAGACAGTCAAATAAATTTTTGAAGATAACTGCGCAGTTAAACAACACAATATATTTTAGAAAATCATTTGACTTCCTTCCCGGTTGAATTTTTAGCTTGAATTTGGTATGGGTAAACTGCACTTAATGGAGAAGATGCTAAAAAAAATTCATCAAAAAATTCTTGCGGGAACCGCCCTAAATGACGACGGCTGACAGAACCTCCTATATAATTGGTGATTTGCATTTTTTTTTGTTAATTCGATGGCTTATTTGCTAATTTTCTCACAGCTATAATTCAATGTGCTTTACATATTTTACGGATGCATAATTAATGAGAAATAAATTATAATATTTGTACCAATGTATTACGTAATGAGGGTTATGGTGGGTTGAAATGGAGTACAACTTTTTTTCATTTTCTTTAGTGTAATTTTTGTTTTCATATTACTAGTGTTTAAATTGATTATAATATAATTACTCATCAGTTCAGTCCTGCGAGAATTCTCGGATCCGCCTGGATGGTTTAAACAATTAAACTAATTAATTAAGGTGACAATTCCGATACTCATTTAAAAAATGGGACAAAGATATGATACCTTATAAGTACGATAGAATCCACTATTAATTAATGTGCATATCTATCTATATATGTGTTTGCAGGTGAAGGATGTGAATCTATTTTTTGTGGAGTGTTCAAAGAAGAGAAACCATAACGCTTATGTGTATGGTTATCGAGCACTATACTTGCTCCTGGTGGCCCATGCCATTGCCACTTTTATTGGAGGTTGGACTTATTTGAAAAACTTCTTCTTAAGATGCTTTTGCTCCAACAAACATCCTGATATAGAGGCCACAAATGGTTGCTTACATATTTGGTTCGTTTTGATGTGGTATGTTTTTCTTCCCTTTTCATTCCTCTTTTTCAATTTTTATATTTCTTTTTTAGATTGCGCTGGGCAGATGGAGAAGAAATCAGAGTGCTCAAACTTACAAACTTTGAACATTTGTAGATGAGAACGAAAACAAAAATTGAAGCTTTGAATTAATTGGTTCCACATAAAAGTACATAAAATCCAAATATATTTGAAATATATATGACTTAAATTAAGCTTAATAGTAATAGATATATATTGCGAATTATTCCTAGGATACAAAGTCGAATTTAATATAATAATGTCTTATTATAAACTAATCACAATAACTATAAATATGTACAAAGTACTTCCTCCGTTGTTTTTTAATTGCAACGATCCACTTTTCACGTTTACCAACACACAAGTTTGACCATTAATATCGTTCATTCTATATTTGTAAAAAGAATTAAAAAATTCAGATTTTGAAAGTTTACAATGAGAGGAATTCAAAAATATATATTTTAAATTTAATTTATAATATATTAATAAATAAAATATAGTCAAAGTAGAGTATGTGAATAGTGCAAAAAGTTCAATTTTACAATTAAAAAAGAACGAAGGTAGTATTTATTTAAGGGAAATTTTCCGGAATATGACAAAAACATATTGAGTTTTCTGAAATATGACATGTTTTGTTTTTAGATATTCATGTGACTAAAATTCGAATAAGAAAGAAATATCTGTCATATCCAGGGGGTCTAGGGGAGGGAGGTTGTGGGGGAGGGGGCCTGGAGTAATTAAGGCTGAAACTCACTCTATTGAGTTTCAAACCCGAGACCCCCCGTAAGGGAGAGTGAGTCGGTGACCAACTGGGCTGAACCGCTTTAATTGTTGTTTTATCAGGACTAAATAAACAATACTTTAGAAGAATTGCTTCATGTGTTTTACTTATATTATGGATTATTTCTTATTAGTAGAAATGTGTGGATGCAAGAGCAAAGAGCTATGGCTATGTTTGGCAAATAAAAGCTTGTAACTTCTGACTTATCTATTTTTTTAAAAAGTCTCTAAAAGACCCTAGTTTTGTGTTTGGTTAGCTAACTTTTTTGAGAAGTCCCGGTCTTTTACCGGACGCTAGGCAGGGAAGCGTTGAATCAAGAAGAGCTTTTCATTATTTACGACATTCCTCAAATAACCCAGCCTATGCTCCCATTCTATCATCTTCTTCAACTTCAATTTTGCTATTAACGTCAATATCCTCAAGTAATCGGCAGGTGCATCCGTCTTCTTCCCCTGACCCCTGATTATCTTTCTTAAACCCTTGAATCCATCTCAAATTTTAATTATTTGTGGCCAAAACTTCTGTGATATTCAAGCTTGTTAAATGTTACCCATTTGCATTGATTTGGTAAAAAGTGTACTCGAAATTTGTGTTAGATTCGATCTTAATTTTTTGATCTCTGTTTTTACGAATTGCAATATATTTCTTGGTCTTTGGTTCAATACAGTAGCGGTTTCTTGTTGTATTTCATATTGCTTTGGCTTTTATTTTGCTTTATTAATTGCTTTGATTTTTTCATAGTTTTTTGTGTATTCATGTTCTAGTTTTTCTTCAGTTTTTGATGTAATTTTTTAGTGTAATGTTTCTGCTCGGTTTTCTTTACTTTGGATTTTATTTTTTAGTGTAATTTTTTAGTGAATTTTTTGCTTTGGCTTTTATTTTTGCTTTACTTTTATTAACGTAATTTTATAAACAGTCCAAGGGTCTAAAAACACGATATTTTAATTAAGATAAAAAAATCTTACATGTTTTTATTTTCCTTTATGTTGAAATTAGCTATATGCATGTACTCTATTTTCTCATTAATTAAATTATAAAAAATCATTGTCCTTAATGGTAATTTTATGTTTTTAGCTACTTGTAACAGTTAGTTTTGCCAAACATGACTATTTAAAAAAGATAGCTTTTATAAAACGGCTACCGTCTTCTCCATCTGCAAGCTTTTCAGCTCAAAAAAGTCAACAGTTACTAAAAAGTCTATAAAAGATTTTTTCAGATTGTCATTCCAAACATAGCCTATATGTAAATAGTTTGACTAAATTGATAACATATCTCCATTATCACGATTCACGAGCGATATATCAATGTTATATATGCTCATTTATTAATGAGAAAAATGTTATTACTACTTGAATTTATGTCATAAGTATTAATGCAATCTTGTATTTCCAAAAGTCAATTAATTACTCCAGATTGTTTATTCTTTCGTTGTTTAATTTCCCCCTCATGTTAGTTGACGTGCACTTTGTCGTGGTGTGCACTCAAAGTAATTATACAATACAACACTAATACGTAGTATAGTGTAGTAAGGTTCGTATCCACAGGGAAAGGAATATTTCTCTTTTTATATAACTAGTAACAAAAAGGGGGGGTTTAGGTTTGAATGATTTAATTTAATTAAATACAAAGATGAACGACTTATATGAGTTTAATTAATGGAGATGAAGACTTGGTTTTGCTTTTATCCACTTAATGAAATGTTCGTCGATCCCGGTTATATCTTTTAACTATCTTCCTCTCGAATACTCAATCGAGGAGTATATCCAGTTCATCGAGGGTAGTTATTAATAACGAGATGCGTTCATTAACAAAACTTACTATCGAGTTAATATAGAACAAGCGCCATATATTAACTTGATAATAGCAATAAACTTAAGATGAAAACGATTGAGATTGATAACCTCAACACAAGCGGTTTATTGGTTTAATCAATATAATTAATTCCCCTTGGCTTATTAACCATGAGAAGCATGCATTAACAATCCAAGTTTACTACCATTGAAAGAACCGAATTAATAACAAGCGTATTAACCGATTGATTCTAGTAATAATTAATATATAGAACAAGACTAGTTGATACTTTAAGTAATGCTCAATATATTAATATGGGATATGAATAGGAAGTAATTAATATTCAAGGAAGAAGATTAAAGAAAATAACTCACAACTTACAAATCATTAAGCTTCAAAGTAGCAAAACCAAGATGGAAGAGTTTAGCTCCTCATTTGGAGACTAAACATGATAAAAATATAAAGAAAGAACTTGTCTAAACTGAGCTAAGAAGTATATAGGAATTGGTGCTTTATTGTGGAAGAAATGAGGTGTATTTATAGGCTTTTTAGGCCTGCAGGGTCGTGTACCCGATCGGGTATATAGGGTACTCGACCGGGCCTTCAGTTGCTTCGCGGAAGCTGGAAAAACATGGACATACCCGATCGGGTATGTCGGCTACCCGATCGGGTATAGACACTCGATCGTGGTTAAAATCTTCCCTGCATGTTGCCTTGTTCCCGGGTTGATCCGATTTGATCTTTCAGCGACTTACCCGATCGAGTATAGGGCATACTCGACCGGGTATTTCTAGAGTAACAATCACTCAAAACTAATCAAAAACACAACTATAACCATGGAAATAGCATGAATGTCAACTCCCCCACACTTAGTCTTTTTACTCGTCCTCGAGTAAAACCAAATGTTTACACAATGTTTATCACAAGATCATGAGTTCATAGAGAGGAAGAAATAAGAAACTAAAACCACCAAGTATTTTGAATGAGTTTACAAAACACATTTCCTTGGGTTTAATGGTCTTCTATGCTTCTTCTTCTTCTTCTTCTTCTTCTTCTTCTTCTCCTCCTCCTCCTCCTCCTCCTCCTCCTCCTCCTCCTCCTCCTCCTCCTCCTCCTCCTCCTTCAAGAGATGGTGTCCTGCAAAACAAAACAAATGTTTTCTCTCATATCTCTCATTTTGCCTAGGAGCCTTTTCAGGTTTTCATCCTAGCATCTCTTTTCTTTTCCTTTCCTTACCACTCACTCATCATTTTTTGTAAGCCCTTGTTGCTTAGATTGCCCTTTTGGGTTTTCAACCTAACTAGCATTTCATTTCTTTTATTGATTTGTTTTTTTTTGTGTACAACTAATACAAGAAAATAATGCTTAGTACAAGGTAAAAACAAAGGAGTGTACATACCAAGAGATAATCTTCCTCCCCCACACTTGAATCATGGCACTACCCCTAGTGCCCGCCATCTCCACCATAATAGCCTCCTCCAAATCCACTCCCGTGCATGTCATCACCGCCTCCCTCGCCCATGGTAGTATCCCCTCCATCATAGCCACCACCTCCGGAACTAGAGTCGCCAAAATTACCCCAATCGGAGGGGTTATACCAAGAAGGTGCCGGTGGTGGTGAGGCCATAGAAGCAAATCCGCCAAGGTGGGACATGTATGAATATGTGGGCCCATACATTCTCCGGTAGTCCTCTTCATACCTTTGCATGTCGGACACCCTTTGCTCCTCCATCCTTTGGAATGCCGATTGTTGTTCGGTCCGGAAAGCATCAAATTGTCGGTCCCTTGCTTGTTGCTCCGCCCGGTAGTGGCCTATCTCCTCTTGAAGTTGGGCAAATTGCCCTCCCATCTTTGTGTAATCGAGGCTCATTGTTTGGAACCCGGCTAGGAGGGATTGTTGACCCGCCAAGAGTTGTTGGAAGAAGTCTTGTGGTGGCGGGTTTTGGGGGAGGTCGGGGATATCATGTTGGACATGTTCATGCCCCTCTTGGTGCTCGGGTTGCTCCGGTTGGGGGTTGGGTTGCTCGGCTTGGTCGGCTTGAGGTCGGAGGTGTGGTGTGATGTTGTTATGGAGGAGGTAGTGGGGGATGTCAAATGGCTCCATTCTATACCTAAGTCTAGGTAATTCGTCGCAAGGGAGGGGGAAGTATTTGACGGGCTCGGGGTACTTCATATGCCATCTATAGCGTTGGGTTCCGTTGTGGTCTTTATTACCCAAAGAGATTAATTGTGCATTGGATAACCATCCAAGATGCATTAATGAATCTCTAGAAATTGTGGCATTATCCACATAGCCAAACTTGGAAGCCAAGTGCATGATGACTCCTCCTAAGACAATGTTCCCCCCTTTTGTGATAGACTTCTCTAGATGATCCCAAATTAAGTTGCAAATGTTGAACTCAAC